CCGCCGGGCCTGAGGGGCCTCCCCGCCTCTGGCTGGGGCGCGGGGACCCCGGCTGTGCCGTCCCACCTGAGCCCTGGCCACTGTGCCGGAGGGGAGCGTGGGCCGCTCGAGTGTCACTGTCCGAGCTTCACCCCGAGTCTTGGCTCCGCCTCTGGGGGCTTCCCAGCCCGGTGAGGCTTTCCCACAGGAATTGTGAGTTTGATTTTGAGCTTGGAAGGCGAGTCCAGTTGCACCCAGGACGGCATGTCCTGTCCTTCGCGGGTGCCTGTGGACAGCGAGTCGGAGCCCTCGGGTGCTGGCGTGAGGCCGCTGGTGTGGCTTGGACAGAGGCCGCGTCTCACCCGGGCAGGGGGGCAGGCGGAGGTTTACTCCCCGGGCCCGGGGGGCTGCACGGGGGGCTGAGACCGCCAGGGCGTCCCAGCGGAAGTGCCCCCACCTGTCCCATGAAACCGAAAGAGCCCAGCTGGCCACGGCTTGGACGCGACCCTGCGGCTGCTCGTCCCGCTGTCCAGCTGGACCCGGGGTGGGGGGCGGGGGGCGCTGGTGGGGCTGCAGGGACACGTCTGCTTCTTCCTGAGCCGGGACAAGCTCGTCTGACTGGACGCAGGCTGGACTTTCTGAATACCTGATGCTGTCCATTGCCAGCGTTGCCTCTTCTGGTGACGGTGAAATGGAAAGCGTGTCCACCCTTCTCAGGTGGCCTCACAGCCCTTTTTTGAAAGCGGGATGCTTGTGAGAGGGATGGGACTGGGCAGGTGTCAGCGGATGTTCTCGGTGAGAAGCGCAGACTGACTTCTCCCGCCGCACCTCGCCCGTCTCCGCTCCCTGTCCTGGTTGGAGCCGGCAGCTGAGTTTGAAAAGCGCTGTTGGGGTGTTTTCCTAACTGACAGGCTTGACTGACAGGCCCGACCCGAAGTCTCCTAACCCTACAGCTCTTCAGCCCTGCTGAAAACCCCACGTGCACACAGGCGCTCCCCCCGAGCTTCCTGGCGCCTGGCGGCACCGGCCTGCGCGCCCCGCGTTTGCTTCTCGCAGATGCTGTGGCGGGACCCCCGGCTG